TGTGTACAATAACTCAGAGGTGCAATAATTGCTTTATACAGTATGTTTCATATTTATTTATCACAGCCACTGTCATTTTACTGTATCTGTAAGAATTTAAAGGTGTACATATTGCAAATTTCTCTCTTGTTTTAAATTATTACTGTTTATTCTTTTACATTAATGGTTGCAACTGTAACAACTGCAGTTTCCCTCTGGGATCAATAAAGTATTCTGATTCTGATTCTGATATAACACATTCTCTGTCAATCTGAAGAACCATTTGATCAGGCAAAGAACCATTCCCTTTACTAAAGAACCAGGGATTGCCATGATGACAACACATATATACAAATATATCCTTTTAATTTACTATCCAAACCACCAGTGAACGTACACATGCCTTGTGAGTTTTATATGTAATGTTGATGATGGTAAAATAGAGGGAAATCTGAAAAAAATATGTTTTCCTTGGGGACTATTTTGCCTCACAATGTACTCCTCCGCCATGAATAGCTTTTTAAAAATACATTTTTAGGCCAAAGTCCTCTCTCAGAAGTACCATAAAACAATGTCTCAGGCATCAGGCAGTGAATTCAGGACCATTTCATGTTATAACTTTCTGTGAGGGAGCTTTTAGAGGTGGACGTCTGGTTCCTATCACCACCACTGTGAACAGTTCTGACTCAGTAAGTTTCTCTAGAACAGAGTGTTTCACACCAAACCACTCTGAACGACTCTGTTTACATCTCAAAGATTTAATCATTAATCACACAGAATTATTATGCAGAAATTTTGAAAAATCAGTGGAATTCCCCTTTAAAACACAAAAAGTCTCACTGAGTAAATTCATTATAGAAATGCTTTAAAGCGAGATACTGAATTGCACTCATGTTCATTTGTAGAAACAGTAATATGTAATGACGGCTAGCTAAGTAAATACAGAGCTGTGTCCTGATGTGGGCGGGGTTAGTTGGCACATGTGTCAGCCTGCCCAAGAGACAGGCTACTGTCATAAACATAATATTTTGTGTATGTATGCACGCAAACTACATCTCACAGTAAATAACACAGTCAGAAGGCCGTACTGTAGTAGATCACTGTAAGAAGTGAATCTACCTCAACAAAATAACCAACTGAACCCAAACTATTGATGTATTACATCATGTAATCAGAAACTTTGTTAATTTATACGGTATGCCTGAGATTTACTGCAGAGAGCAAACATTTTAAAAAACAACCCCTGGTGTCCCCTACATTTCATTAAGAATAAACTGTAAAACTGCCAAAAGGTTTGTTGTTCGGTATGAAAAACACAAATTTGGTTTCTGTTGTTATTCCACAACATCAGCGTCAAATGATATTGTTAATTAGATTTTTTTTCATGTCAAGAAATCAGTTTTTAAAATTTTTGGAGGTTAGGGAACCAGACTTGTGACCGGAAGGTTGCCGGGTCGATTCCCTGAGCTGACAGTACCTGACTGAAGCGCTCTTAAGCAAGGCACCTAACCCCCAACTGCTCCTCGTGTGCCGTGGATAGGGCTGCCCACCACTCTGGGCAAGTGTGCTCACTGCCCCCTAGTGTGTGCGTGTGTGCATTCACTAGTGTGTATGTGGTGTTTGACTGCACAGATGGGTTAAATGCGGAGGTGAAAGGGTCACTTAATCTTAATCTAATCTACATACCTACAATTAGAAATTGCTCGTACCAAAAAATAAAAAAATACCACTTCGAGAATTTTAAACAAATTCCAGATTTGTTTAACACTGGAATAAATGGATTGTTTCAATTTACATGTCAAGATATTGAAAACAAATCATTTTATCACTGGGTTCTAATTCTCACAGCTCAGTTTAAGAGTTTGTAGAAGTGCAATGTGGCTTTGAATCATGAGCAGAATGAGCAGCATGAGCTCCTGCATAGAAGCTGAAGGTCTAACTCGGGTCGGCAACATGCAGCTCTTTTACTGTCCCGTTGTGGCTCCACAGCTGAATTAGATTTGTAGGTAAAAATAAAATAATCCTCCTTTACAGTAAAATAAAGCTCTGCTGATCGTTCAACACAGTTTAACAATAAATGGTCTTAAACTCTGGAGTTAATGTAGAACTGCTAATTCACCCTTTAACCCTGAATACTGGCTCGCAGACTGCTGGTCACCATAGCAACACAGTTTAAAGAGAGAGATTTAAGAAGTGCATTGATAATTTGGAGACAAATGGACTTATTTACATTTATAATCACTCCAGCTGGTTTCCTGATTTAATCTGCAACGAGAAACTGAAACACTAAAAAGTCACGAAGCTGAAGTCAGTTTCTCATTCGCCAGCTTCTTGTTTGAATTTTCCCGTTCCACCTTAAATGGTGAAGCAGTTACATTCTGGCGTCTCAGGCACCATTTAAGGTGGAACGGGAAAATTCAAACAAGAAGCTGGCGAATGAGAAGCGACTGAAGGGGAAAAAAAAGCATCGCAAAAATGGCGCAAAACGAAGCCGTTGCAGCAGAGCTTGTTTTACAGCGTAAGTTGTTCAGTCCTTAAATTCGTCTTCGTTACATTATAAAGTGTAAAGTGACCCATTAATTAAAGCATTCCTCAATATATTGTACATCATCCAAAGATCGTATTTTAATCAGAAGTATTTGTAAATATTTAGTTTATCGTACTACATAAGAACATCTCCTCCATTTCCGTAAAGAAATGAAAAAGCAACAAACTCCATGCAGTGGGCTCCATTTTCTCTCATTGGTTCCCTCTTGAGTTTTGTGCTGCAATTGCAAGGGGCGGGGCCTTTCTGGTGATGTCACCACACAGCCTTGTTAGGGCTGCTCCATTTGTGTGACCAATAGGCTACTTTGGAGGAGTCTTCATAAGACGGTCCTACCGACCACTACTACCCTAGACTTTGGAACGCAGCTACTCCCCTCATGGCCCCCTTTTGCCTTTGATTTCTACCATAAAAAACCAGACGTCCCTCAGGAAGGAGGGCTGATATGAATCCAGATGATATTATTTTATATATTTATGTAAATATTATTTTATATATTTATATATTAGATATTTTATATGTATATTCTATATATATTCTTTTTTTCCCTTTTTTTACTTTTTTGTTTTTAGTGTATTTATACTTATTCAGTGTATTTAATATATTCTTATACTCTATTTTTTTTCTAAGACTATATTGGTGAATGGAGGAACAGCAAAGTAAGAATTTCATTGTACAGTCTAACTGCCTGCTTCTGCTGTGCATATGACAATAAAACTCTTGAATTTTGAATTACACTGCTTGGTATTCAAGGTTAAAGTTAGACTGGCTTAGTCTACAGCTACTCTGTATTTATGTTAAATCGTTTAATATGTGTGCCTTGCTGGTGATAAAATATAAAGTCCTGATTGGCTGATCAGCAGTGATAAAGGATCCTAATGGTGTGGACTGAGATGAACCCACAATTTATTCACTTAATAAAATATTAAACACGACTTCTGCACTGCTGCACTGTTTCAGTTCTCCCATTTCTAACCACACACTCTAAAACAATCACTCAATATAAATGCACAGCTTATCATAACGAACATAAAGCTGGCACAGAGGCTGGCATGTGTAAAATACAGTCAGTCCTTTTTTAAATTATGCAAACTTCGTGTGAAAACCTGTATGTGAGAATGTTGTAGTGAACTGGAACCAATTAGGGCTGCAAAGTATACAATTAGTTCATTGTTATCGCTGTATTGCAATACTGATATCACCGAAGGCTAAAACGACTACGAGGCTAACGTTGCTAACAAACACTAGACGTCAGTAGTCACCCAAATCTTTTCCATAGCTTTCAAAACGTCTCTAAACTCGCTCAAAGCGCAAACTTCAAAATCTTCCCTGTGTGGATTACAGTCACAATTTTTGTTAATTCTATTTTTAAACACATTTCTTCAGTTATAAAATTCAAGATTAACAGTTATTTATACATAAAAACAACGGAAATCACGAACATAATTTGTCCGTATGACAGCGTGATGGGTGGGCATGCAAAGAGGAGCCCGAATTTGGCACAGCACCTGTGATTTAAAGTGGCAGCTCACAGTGTTTGGCTACACGGTGCCCTAAACCACTGCGGCCTAAACCACATCAACAAGTCTGCATGACCCCAAAAAGGAGTTCCACTGATTTTTCATGATTTCTGTACAACTAAACTGTCGAGATGCAAACAGCGTCATTCAGAGTGGTCTAGTGTGTGAAGCAGGGGTACACAACTCTGGTCCTTGAGGGTCAGTGTCCAGCTCAGTCTGGTGGTTTCCCTACTCAAACACACCCACTAAACCTGACAATTAACAGATGGGTTAAATTAGGTGTGTTTGAGCAGGTTATTCACCAAATTGTGCTGGACACCGGCCTGCCAGGACTGACAGGCACCCCTGGTGTAAAGGGTCACTGTAGACAAATTGAAAGATTTCGATTTGGTCTGGTGGTGATAGGAACCAGGGGTCGCCATGACTACAACACAAATATAGCCAATTGTCAAATATTGATAAATCCCCAAAAAAATTCTTTGTGTAGTAACCTTCTCTGAGGGAGCTTTTAGAGGTGGACGTCTGGTTCCTATCACCACCACTGTGAACAATTCTGACTCTCTAGAACGAAGCGTTTCACACCAAACCACTCTGAATGACTTTGTTTACATCTTAACCATTTTATCATGTAGAAATTTGGAAAAATCAGTAAAACAGGAAAATAGGCAAAGTCTAGACACCAAAAGATGTCTTGCCTGATTGACCACATCTGGGTTAAGTGGAAAATTGTGTAAATCCAATTTTTGGCCAAGCCATTTAATCTGATTCCTTTAATAAGGTTTAATAATGTTTTTTAATGTATGAAGACATACTGCAGTCACAATGTGTAGCAGTATAACACTGTTGTCAGAAGAAAACCTCGTATCTCCATTTTTTGTGGTTTTTCATTTTTTGACATAATTTGAAAATTGATCTTTACATTGTGTGTAAATTTCATGAAGAATGGACCAAGATAAACGGCCCAAAATGACTTGGGAAAAAAGTCTGGTTCCATTGACTTACATTAAAAGTAAAGAAGTTTTTTCCCTTCTTGTGTAAAGTTGTCATTTTGGAGATTCCGTCAACAACGATAGTCATGATAGTAATATTTTCGTCCATATTGTGCAGCCCTTTATCTTATGTAGTACATGTGAGAAGTACAGTTAAAAATGCCAGCGATCTACAAAAAAGTCTTGGCACGGTTCATCATGCGGTCAGTGTTTTGTCTCGTTTGGTGACATGCTTTCTGTGTGCCTTCGTTTTAAGCTGCATGGATGAGATGCTTTTAAATGAGCCTTTCTTTCCTACACTAATTTCCTCCGCTCCTGCTTTCCACTGCAAAAGTTCTCCATCCTCTCCACCGGTCAGCAGAGCCCCGCTGACAGGATCCCACTGGAAACACCTCACTGTTGCAGAATGCCCTCCTTTCAATGACGTCATCAGCTTCAGTTCACTCCCGCTGCACTCCAGCAGGTGAAGCTCTCCCTCGTGGGACCCGCCCATGATAAGGAGATGACCCGCCTCTTCTAACCAAGTCCCGCCCACAAAGTAGTCCAGTGAAGCCACTTCGGGGAGCGAGACGAGGGTCCGTGCATCAAGCGAACTGAGGAGGGTCAAGGGATCGTCGCTGTCCAGCCGAGACAAGTCCCACAGGTGGAGGCCTTCATCATGACTCAAACACAAAAGCCGGTCCAGGTTTGTTCCTGTCAAACAGAGTCCAGAAAATCATGAGTTATGTTGTGCGACTTGTAAACAAATCAGTAGCTCTGGAAAAGAGCCTGTCAAACAGATGACCAGAAGCAGATGGACGAATGTTTTTCACCATGCTCTTCTTTTGAAGGGCTCATATCATTAAAAAACAAATTTCCCTCACTTTTTTTTAACCTCTTATTCTCCAGGGTATATTTTGGTTTTTCCATCTGAATTTCCATGACCAAATCGTAAGGCAAATTATTCAGTAACTGCATGAAAAAAATGTTAATTTTTATTTATTTATTTATTTATAAAGCTCCCCTCAAATTAACAGAACATGTGTTTTATGATCACACATATTGCTATATGCTTACAATTTACAGCTGACAGCCAAAAATCTTAGATGATCTTTGTATTATTTTATATATAAAATAATGTTTACAGAGCAGATCACTGAAGAGACGCCATCTGTTTACAGTTTATAGCCCAGATTTGTGGAAAAATGGGTCGACTTTCAGCAGATAAAAAAAGTTCAGCTTCTTTTATTATAAGGGTTTAAAATTACATCACCCATCTATTTGACTGGAAAGAAGACAGTTACAGCTCTTATATGAATGTAGCTTATGAATTATTAAAGTTATGAAGAATATGACGAAATGCGTTTTGGAACCACCGGTGGTCCCAAGGAGCTGATGTAGTATTTTTACTGATGAGCTAAAATGTTACGACCACAGATGAAGAGAATAATGATATCTCATAACACTGGTGCATGTCAAGGTCTGGGATTTATTAGACAGTAAGCGAATAGTGGTTCTCGCGGTCGATGTGCCTGATGCGGGAGAAGTGGGCAGGCGTGAAGACCTGAGCGACTGAGACCAGGGACAAACCGTTAAGGGTCAGAGCATCTCTGAAGCAGCACAGCTTTTGAGGAGCTACCAGTCAGAGGTGAGTACCTACCGACAGTGATCCAAGGAACAACAAACCACAAATCAGAGGCAGGGTGCTGGGCACCCATGGCTCATTAATGCATAAAGGCAACAAAGGTCATCCTGTCTGGTTTGAACCGACAGAAGGGCTACTGTGGCACAAGACACTGAAGTTTTTAATGATGGAGGAATGTGGAAGGTGTCACAACACACAGTGTATCGCACCCTGCTGCATATAGGGCTGCATGGCCTGCAGACCAGTTAAGAGTGCCCATGCTAACGCCTGTCCACCATTAAAAGCACCTATAATGGGCACACGAGCGTTGGACAGGGGTTACCATGGGCACTCAAGTGTTTGGGACTGGACCTTCTTCCATTGCTCCAAGGTCCAGTTCCAACACCCGAGTGCCCATGGTAACCCCTGTCCGCAACTGAAAGCACCTACAATGGGCACACGAGTGTTGGAGCTGGACCTTGGAGTGACGAGGGCGTCGTCTTCTTTCCCCAAACTCAAATCGAACACGTTTGGCCTCCAAATTATGCGGCTCTCAACTGAGCATCTGTGGGATGTGCTGGAACAACAAGTCCCATCCACAGCAGCATCACCTCACAACTTACAGGACTTAAAAGATCTACTGCTAATGTCTTGGTGCCAAATACCACTGGGCACCTTCAGAGGTCTCGCAGAGTCCATGCCTAGGCAGGTCAGAGCATATTAGGCAGGTGGTCATAGTGTTTTGCCTCATCGGTGCCGACATTTACTTCTCTGTCTATAAAAATGGCTACTAAGTTGCAAAAACAGCCCATTTTGAATTCACCGTTTTGTGATGCCATGAAAACCAACGCATAACATATATCTGGCTATTCAGTCTACGGCAGTTTAGCCCCACCCACTTTTTGTTTTTTACATTTATATATTTACATACACCAATCAGGCATAACATTATGACCACCTCCTTGTTTCTGCGCTCATTGTCCATTTTATCAGCTCCACTTACTATATAGGGTGCACTTTGTAGTTCTACAGTTACAGACTGTAGTCCATCTGTTTCTCTGCATACTTTGTTAGCCCCCTTTTACCCTGTTCTTCAGTGGTCAGGACCCCTGACCCCTGATATGGACTCTTTACAGAGGCAGAGTGAATCCGAACTGCCTACCTGACCAGCAGAGGGAGCCAGCAGATGAGTCACAGTTACAGGTTGTGACGAGGGCGTCGTCTTCTTTCCCCAAACTCAAATCGAACACGTTCACCAGGCCGTCAGTCGCCCCCGACGCCAGTCTGTCTGCTCGAGATGGGTGAAAGCGCACGGTCGTGATGTCATCGCTGTGCGACTCAGAGAACACGCCCAGCAACTGGTCCTGCTTGGCTTCAGTCTTGGTCCCACCATCACCCACCATGCGAGTGTCCCAAAACACCAGAAAACTGTCCTCGCCCACCTGCTCTGTACCTGCGCAGAGCAGCCTGTCGTTACAGCTCACGTCGAAGGAGCAGTAGGCGTGCTCCGGATCGCTCTGGAATACTCGGGCCGGGGCAGAACCGGGTCGCCGGACGTCCCAGCACCGGAGCGTCCCATCCACAGACCCGGTGTAGATCAGGTCGCAAGAGGACGAGGAGAAACGGACCCCAAAGACGGCCCCCGTGTGGCCCTGGTACTCCCCGCACATGCGCAACGTCTCTCTGCTGTGCAGACGGACAGTGTGGTTCGAGCAGCACGCGGCTAACAGGTCAGATCCTGGGGTAGAAGTGGAGCTGCTGGTTCTACGTGGCAGTGCCACGTCGAGGATGTAGGAAGGGTCATCTGGCTGCAGGCGTCTAGCAATAGACAGGGTCCTGAAGGTGTCTTCAAGGGAATCCATCAGACTGGACAATGACCTGCAGAGTTTAATGAAGACAAAATCACCCTGCAGTTCACTGATTAAAAGGCCCAGTTCAGTTCCTCACACTCATAACTACACAAGCTACATCTCCAAATATATGTGGACACCTGCAAATTCAGCATTTCTTCTGAAATGAAGGGTATTAATAGGGAGTTTGTCCCCCTTTGCTGCAGTTACAGCCTCGTCTCTTCTGGGAAGGCTTTACACTAGATGTCGGAACATTGCTGTGAGGATTTAATTGCAATCAGCCACAAGAGCATTAGTGATGTCAGGTACCGATGCTGGATTATTAGTTCTGGATTCTTAACTAATCCCAAATGGCACTTTTCCACCTCACAGTACGGCACGGCTCGACTCGACTCGACTCGACTCGACTCTGCAGTTTTAACACCTTTTAATACCTTATTGTAGCTGGACATCATAGCGATGCTACATGACACTGCCGTGACCTGAAAGAGACAAATTTTGTTCAGAAGAGGATGATGGCAGCAAGACAAAAGGAAAAAAAAAAAGTTTTGGGAAATACTACATTAGACGACGGGACGATTCTGGTTGGCGATGCAAGAGGGAAGGTAACCTGGTCAGTCTTTAGTTTTTCTGCCTCACCTTTTGGTATCGGCTTAGCTCACTAAGAACCTTGACGGTGGTGATACTAAAAATAGCGCAAGGTACCAGTTTTGCCTATTGAAAAAACAAAGAAGGCAACCAGAGTCGAGCTGAGCTGAGCTGAGCTGGCACCAAGCGGTGGAACAGTGGCTAAAGATACTGGATGGAGCTCCATCACTCCACACAACGCAATTCAACTGCTCCACAGACCCCTCTAGCCCACACTTTGCATCACACCTGGTGATCTTACGGTCATGTGGGGCTGATTCAGAGTGCCCCCATTCTGTTGGTCAATGCATTTCTATGGAGATGCTGCGTGCAACTGAACACCTGTGTCAGCGATTGATGTACCTTAAAGTGGCCGAATTAACTAATTAGAGGATTTCTAAAGAACGGTATTGGTCATACAGTGTAATGTGAACAGTAGTTACTGTTTCATAGTAGCTACTGAATAATAAACATTAGGATTAAAAGCTGGTGTCAAGGGGTAACGCTGAGTACTGGACAGTTCTGAAAGTCTGAGCGCACTTTTCGACTTTATTCTCGAAAAATTACGACTTTTTTTTTTTCGAAATATTACTTTTTCTCTCTAAATATTACTTTTTTCGTAATATTACGACTTTTTTCTCGTAATATTACTTTTTCCCTCTAAATATTACGACTTTATTCTCGAGGTCTACTATTTTTATTAACAGCGGCTCTAAAACGCCGCACGAGGCTGAAATATTCAGGCAGCTTCTGAATTTTTCCCGATTTTCCACCTTAAACGCTTCAGGAAAACTGCGGTCAGCTTCGCTACAACAGCGGAGTTAATCAGAATTTAAACCGCAAAACACGGAAAGTGCACGGAAAACACACATTTATAAACACAGTTATAAACACATTTATAAACACAGTTATAAACACAAGCACGCGCTCTGTTTACCGTTCAGCTCCGCTTTGAACTCATCTGTCAACACGCTTGGGCTCGTGTGCAACACCGTAAACTGCTCGACGGAAATTGTTGCCCCGGAACGCAGTTTCCAAATGCACTTTCCGCCCGTTTCCCCACAGATAGTGCATCACGAAACATACAGGGCGCAGTTAAACACAGCGCTGCAGGATGTTTAGGGCCAGAAACATAATGTGAACAGAGAAAAATGGGCAATAAGGATCAGCAGTGGAGAACCCACACAGAAATCTGATATATGGTAGTATATGAGCTTCAAATATATAGCATAGATTAGCATATTTGGATTTCTCTTATACAGCCAACTTATATTAGTCACACATGGACATATATGTAACACAAGCCAACTTATTTTAAATTGTCCGTTTTCAAATATGGGACATATATTTCAGCCATATATCAACATATACACTGATTATGACCACCTCCTTGTTTCTAGGCTCATTGTCCATTTTATCAGCTCCACTTACTATATAGTGTCTCTGATTCACTCAGACCAGCACAACACACACTAACACACCACCACCACGTCAGTGTTACTGCAGTGCTGAGAATGATCCACCACCCAAATAGTGCCTGCTCTGTGAGGGTCCATGGGGGTCCTGACCATTGAAGAACAGGATAAAAGGGGGCCAACAAAGTATGCAGAGAAACAGATGGACTACAGTCTGTAACTGTAGAACTACAAAGTGCACCTATACAGTAAGTGGAGCTGATAAAATGGACAATGAGTGTAGAAACAAGGAGGTGGACATAATGTAATGCCTGATCTGTGTATGTCACACTGTATGACCTCTAATTAGCAAATTCAACCACTATAAGGTGCATCCATTGCTGACACAGGTGTTCAGCTGCACACAGAGTTTGTATAATCTCCATAGAAAAGCCTCAACCAACAGAATGGGACACTCCGGAGGAGCTGCACAGGAGCGTAAGGTCACCATGCCCAATGCCAAACGTCGGCTAGAGGGGTATAAGGCCCCCAGCATCGGGAGCAGTGGAACTGTGTTCTCAGGCAGCTGATGGAGCTCCATCCAATACCTTTGAGATGAGTTGGGATCTAGAACTGATCATCTAACATCAGTACGTGACCTTACTAATGCTCCTGTGGCTGCAATCAAATCCTCACAGCAATGTTCCTACATCTAGGACAGTGGTCCCCAACGCTCGTCCTCGAGATCTACTTTTTTGCAGTGTTTAGTTCAAACCCACTTCTTACTTGCTGCTCTCCCCTCACCTAACACTAACGCTCTGATCCAACCAATCAAGAGCTTCTGAGGAAGTTAATTAGCTGGAGCAGGTGTGGCGGATTGTGGCTGGAACTGGACGGCACAGGACCAGAGTTGGTGACCACTGGTCTAGTGTGAAGCCCTCCCAGAAGAGCAGAAGCTGTTACTGCAGCCCAGGAGGGGGAAATACACTACTAATGCCCTTGATTTCAGCAGAAACGCTTTCATATTAAAAATGAAGGGTCAATTAAATAAACCTCTGTCCATTTGTGTTAATTAGTCAGAGATTAAAGAAGTTGATTGTGTCTGTAGTTGTGAAAAGGATGTAAACGAGTCAGGAGAAAGTGAAATAGTGATATCATTATTAGTAGTAACAGCAGTGTTAGTCACATTTAAGAACGTATTGACAAATGACATGACAGTTTGCTGAGCTGGCATTATTTTTATTTTATTTTATTTAACTTCAAAAACAGACAAAATGACAGTTTGTTTTTTTTTTTGCATCTGAGGAAATTATTCAAACATCACAATCTAGTAAAACATTAAAAAAAAATCACCAGATAAACAGTTTAAACCAATTTGGACCCACATTCGCTTTAACACTGTTAATGTTTCCTCTGCATTTCTTTATTCCAAAGCCAGACAGTGCTGTTCCGCAGGTGGGCAGCAGGTGGGCGCTCTCGCTCCTCATCCACAGCTGCAGTCAGTGTCATGTGGCGGTCAGGTGGCTCAGGGAGGGAGGCCACACACTACCTTGCAGGAAGAATGGCTGCTATTTAAAGCTCTTAGAAGCTCTGGTGGTGAAAGAAGCAGATTCACACAGAACAACAGCAAAAAACCTGTTCAAGACACATTTGGTACAGCAAGAAAACAGAAAATAAGAAATAACAGTTAGTAATATGTAACTATGACCCACAACTAACCAACCCAAGTCGGTCTGCCCAGGCATACAATGTGACAGCCAGGACAACTTAACAGATGAGTGATGAGTAATGGATCAGCTCTGTATGATCTGCATAGTGAACTAAACACAAAAAGGCCTCAAAGCTGTTGTTCTTGGGTCGAGACACCAGAGAGAAACTAGGCAAAAATAAAAATACCTGCATTAATCTACTGTCCCTAATCAACTGTCCAACAGTTATAAACCTATTATTCCATAGGTTCTCTCTCTCTCTCTCTCTCTCTCTCTCACCCACACACACACACACATATATATATTATAATATATATATATATGTGTGTGTGTGTGTGTGTATCTGCTGTCAGGAGAATACCTCAAATCTCCATTTTTGTTGTTTTTCAGTTTTTGACATAAATGACCTGAAAAATGACTTGAAAATACCGGTTGTCCTTTACATTGTGTGTTAATTTCAACTTGGAAAAATGTTCCACTGACTTGTAGGTTTTTTTCTTTCTCCTGTAGGATTGTCTCTGACTTTTGCATATATATATATATATATATATATATATATATATATATATATATATATATATATATATACACACACACATATATGTACACACACATATATATATATATACACATGAAAATGTCAGAGACAACCCTTCATTCATTGAATGTCAGTCAAACCTGCAACTGAGTCTATATTTTCAGTTTTTAAAAAAGGAGTTCAAAAACTAATTAAAAGCTACTGAGAAAATGAGACTCCTAACAACCACCTGGAAGACCTGGTAGACACCAATACTGTCCCCATCAGATAAACAACACTTAAAGCTTTCATCTTTGAGAGAGATCTGATAACATAAGTGGAACGTTTGCACTAGAACACACACACCTTATAAAACCTTGTATCTGCAAAATGGCATCTTTACAGGAGAAGGAAAAAACCTACTTTACTTTTAATGTAAGTTAATGGAACCAGACGTTTTTCCCCCCCAAGTCATTTTGGGCTGATTTGTTTGGTGCATTCTTCATGAAATTTACACACTGTGTGTAAAGGTCAACAGGAATTTTCAAATTATGTCAAAAAATGGAAATAGAAGATTTTCGTCCGACAGCAGCAAATATATATATATATGCATAACCCAAATGCAAAGTTAAGGTAGTTTTTGATTGTTCCATATGAAAAGTCAGGGCACAGTTATTAGGGTGGACTAAATAAATAAGACTATTATACTAGCAATTATTGTCACCCAGCTGAGGAACAGCAGAATTAGAATAGGACTTTCGCCTTTATAACCAAAGACTTAGCATAAAGGCACAGAGGAAATACACAGAACAGTATTTAAACAGTCTCTAAGACCCAGATTAAACCTCATTTCTTGACTCCAGCTTTTCTAAATCACGAGGCCTGGAATAAGCTCATATTAGCGTCAAGAATTTGGTCAAGTAAGGAAATCAAACCCTGGGTCGTACCTGCTGAACGCACCACAAACGCATAGAAGCTCCAAATATCTCAGAATTTTATTTACATCCAGGCCGCGTCGATGTGTAATTAGGCCAGGAAGAATGTTTAGAGAAGCTCTCTCTCCTGAGTTTAATGATTCTGCATAGTCAATAGGTGAGTACTTTGCTCGGCCAGACTGGCAGTGCTCTGACGCAACGAGGGAAGAACTGAATACTGCAAATAAATGAGGAATGATAAAAAATACAGTCTACATTTCAGTCAAGTTAAATAAAAACGGCTTAATCTTGGTTCAAAAAGCTAAATTCGGTCAGTCAGTGAAATATGCATATACAAATATACAGATACCAATTAATTATATGAACTTATAGGCTGCAGACTTAATGTAGATAAATATTTAGGTTTTTAAATATTTAGCCTACAGTTTCTATGAATTTTAGGCCAAATTATCACTACATTTCCACATCTCCAATCACATGCAAGTAAATCAGCAATGTAGAAATAAATTAGCTACTATAAAATCACAAACTAAGCGATGTGTTAAGCGAGAGGATGGCTGTGAACCTAATTTACTTTTTTCTCATTTTCCAAACCTGTAGACTCCTGAATTTACACCTGGAGACCTTAATGACTGGTCCAGAATGAAAAGCCACTGCAGAGAAGACAACAGCAGCCTTCCTTTATCGTGACCTCTGAATGCGATCGATCACTTTCAACTGCGGAACTTGGTGGTGAAGCGTCAGTTCTAACAACAGAAGGTCGTGAAGCTTCACGCTTGCTGATGGTTGACCTCACGGTCAGGGAAGTTGTTCGTTTTGTATGCTGAAAATTCTGTTCTTATCACCCTCAACTCGAGCCCAACAAAACATCCTGTTTACAAAACGTGAAACTCAGGAAAACCCGCCTTCCGTTACAGCAGACAGGCGGACGACACACAAGGCCAGAGGAATACAGAAAACTCGCCTGACCAGCCTCATCTCACCTATGGTGACCCTGGATACACCCCGGCACCTGTAAGAACAGTGCATTCTGGGAACAGTGCATTTTAAACAGTACCTCAATCACTTTTAGACATTAGCCTAAAACCAGACTTCTACAATTAAGACAACAGACGGAAAACTGAATTAAAGGGGAACTCCATCGATTTTCCTAAATTAATTCATTATTTAGTGGTTAAGATGTAAACAAAATCATTCAGAGTGGTTTGGTGTGAAACGTGCCTTTCTTGATAAATTAAGAGTCAGAATTGTTCACCATTGTAGTTCCAGGAACCAGACGTGCGTACATCTATATTACAAATATCACCATTTCATCTGCTTCCAAAATGACCAGTGAACTTACAGGTGTCTTGTATGTTTTTGTGTGTCACGCTGATCATTGTAAAATCCTGAAAATTTAAATAATATATTTTCTTTGGGGACTATTTTTTCCTTACAACGCCCTGCATGTACCTCTCCACTCTGCACGTCTTTTGGAGAAGTGTCTGACTGCAGAGCCGCGGATTTACACATCAATTAGTCGTCATTTGCCACTGTGCATATATATCACTGTTAGCCGTTAGCTTAGAACAGACTGTCTAAAGTGGAACACGCAAGAAAACAAAAGCTATCTACCTCACTATTCTACCTCATGAACTGTGGAGTAGCAAGTAGTTTGTTGTTGAGACCAGCAGATTCCATTCACTCTGGGTGTGCTCTGCGTCGGCGCTGGCAGGTTCTCTCTCTCTCTCTCTCTCTCTCTCTCTCTCTCTCTCTCTCTCTATGACAATTTGGATCCTGACCTCCTCGAAGTCCTCTGATACTCTGCAATCTTCCAAAATATTAAGAAAAAATAAACTGTAAACAAAAGCTGCTGCTGGCGTTAGCCGTGCTGACCGGCTGTAGCTACAGGCGAGTAACAACAAAAGCAAATTAGCTCGTGCTCATTGATCTCAGTTGAGAAAGTGGTTTTGAAAGGAAACACAGAACTAAACCTGGAGTAAAACCTTATAAAATTAACCTATAAAAATACATTTTAGGCCAAAACTTTCTAACAAAACTATCACAAAACAATGGCTCAGGTATCAAGCCTTGCATTCATGACCATTTTGTATAATAACGTAACGGGATGTTGCTTTTGGAGCCATTAAACGCACCGAACGTCTGGTTCCTAGTACTATCATGGTGAACAACTCTGACTCTGTAAATTTCTCTGGAATGATTTTGCTCACATCTAAACCATTGATTGATTAAGTAATTTTACAAAATCGGTGGAGTTCCCCTTTAATAGCTATTCCTTGCAAACCTGTTCCAATTCAATGTAATTAGAACAGATTCTCCTCACTCTTTGATGAAGAGTTCTTTAGCACATAAAAGCTTAGATCACAAGCATTTAAACCTAAAAGTCCCTTAAAAAAATCCTACCATAGTGGTTAAAATTGATTGTCTAAAGGCAAAAGCTCAAGTTGCGATCAACAAAGAGATTTTTGTATAAAATGCGAACATTTTTAGAACTACGGTCACCTCGAGGACTCTACTGAAGATGGTTAGCCCCTAACATTCCTCCGTCTTTTCAGTAGTCCAGCTATTCATTTACAACAATGAAACGCACATAAACGAATAAAACAACAGATGCAGTAATAATATTTTCAAGCAGCAGATCAACTTGGTGATTTCAAGGGGGAAATAAAAGTAAAAAGGAAAGTCAGAAAGCTCCTCTTAGAAGATCTCCCAAGCATAAATGTGCACAGTTTCAGAGATATGGATTAAGCCTAACCCTGGACTAACAAATATTTATAAGAGAATCAATTTTATATGAAATCTAAGATCTTAATCTGTACACAGGAGACCAAACGCGAATTACTAGCATTAATTTGTGCGAGAAACTGGCGATGAAAATACTACAAAAGTGGAAAAAAGATATAATGCCATTAGGCTCTCTAGGCTAGAGGGTCAAAAAGCCAAATGCTGCTCTAGCCTAAAATGGCCAATAGCAATACTAAGCTAAGAGAAGAGTTTAGAGTTAAACTCAACTGTCTGCTATGTAGAACTGAACCTTTTCAGACCTTGTCTAAAAACTTCAGACAGCGTTAAAGCGCTTATTTCTAGGTCTCGGTCAGGTTTGGGCCAGACTGTAAAGTAATCTAACTACCCTAATCCTTACTTTTCTTCTTTGCTCAGTCATAACTGAAGGCTACTGAGGTTTAACAGTTAATTTGGTGAGATTGAGCATCAGTCGGTTGGTCATTCAGTCAGTCACAGCCCTTCTGTCAGATGTTTCAGTCAAAGAAATCCACACATCTAAAGTAACTCAGTCAAGGTTCAGACTGCTGCTGCCTAAAACAAACAAACAAACAAACAAAAAAAAAACAAACATGTTAACATCATTATCCCAAATAATGGGATGATTTTTTTGGAAAAGTCTTTAAGCATCCAAGGTGCTACTGAAACCTGAAAAGTTCTAGAGAACAACCACAGACCGGTACAAAATATGTGCCCATTAAAGATGAAATGGTGTCTCCCGAATCCAGCCTTTCAGTCCAAACAAACCCTTCGATTAGTTACTAATCACGCTGATAAATGAGAGAAGCGACAAAGGACAGTAAATTTGACAATAAATTCTGGGCTGAATGGATCTGGTTTTAGAAAAATAAGAATTTAGAGTTGCAAAGACTCTATAAGTAAAACACAAAGCTGTAAATGTGCTACACACTGTTGTAAAATGGACTGGAAGTCATTGCTTTGGGTCTCTTTTTAAAGGTTTTAGTATAAACACCTCACGAAAGTTATTACTAATGTTTATGCTGAACTCTGAATGTTTTGCTCTGGGTGATGTTGGGGGGATGATCATTTTTTGCAGTGCTAAAAGGCTGGCATTAGCTCCGTTCAGCAGTCTGAGACAAATCTGATTAGACACCACGTTTGCTGGACATTCCTTCCACCCAATCAGGATAAGCCAATGCAAAAGTAGAAGGAGGGCACAAGGAAGAACGCGCTGAATCCCACTGTCCAGTAAACAATATACCGGTACGGCAGTTCCACCTGCATATTCTGCCTGGCCTTCCGGACGTCTCCGCTTGGAATTCCAACAAACCAGCACACGAGAGGGATCGTGAGGGCCTTCATCACAGCTCTTGTTGCTAAAAGCATTATTACTCCCAGCACGAATCTGAGCAAACACAGCCCCACCAGACTGAAGCTGAGGGTTGGTGCTTGTAATGGAAGCATGGAGGCTGGAGGATCTGGGATCAGGGCCAGTTGGTAGTTAAGGTGGGACGCCACGGCTATTCCTGCCCCGGTGCCCAGGATCTGAGCGGTGTCGCCCCGAGAGGTGCTCCACGTATCCAGGGTGAAGGAGAAGAGCCCCATGCCTGCATGAAGGGACACTATGAGGATGGGAGCGTAGCGACAGGACAGGTTAAACGTGTCGATCACATCCAGGGCAGGACTGAAAACCACCAGGATTAGCAAGCTGTAGAGGAAACCGGCAATGACGTCCTGTAGGAAAACAAAAGGAACAATGTTAGGTGGTAGTTCACTGGATTAAAGGCCAGAGCACACCAACCCATCAACACCAAACACTGGGCTAGAGTGGGACTGTTTGGAGTCTAGAACAGATCTTCAGCTCCAGATCGGAATCTGATTTTGCAAATATTAATAGTTTACTGAACTGCTGATGAAAGGGAATGGCCACCTACTGTCATCCAGGAATACAAAATCCAGGACCAGTAAATTCTCCAGAGTTTAAGGCTCTAGAAAGTTCTCAGGCCATTCTCGCTGGTTCATTTGGTTTATTCATTATCACTCTAGAACCGTACAAAACCGAATGCCAATATTAGAATATAGCGGTTTGTTGGGAAATGCTGGGTCAGTGTGCCATGGCCTTAATACAGCTCAACATCTGGCAATTCATTTTACAAAAACTCAGTTTCCTTAAACTCCACTCCATTTGCATTAAACTCCACTCCATTTGCATTAAACTCCACTCCATTTGCTTTAAACTCCACTCCATTTCCATTCAACTCCATTTATTTAAATATTTATTTATTTATTTAAATTGGCCCTATTCATGTTTAAAACTAGATAGGACTGACAGCACATAGCTATAGTTTAATTTTATATTTTTATAGTTCAGTGATGTTCTGGCTCTTAAGCACATTTAACTGCCTGAGTGCCTCAAGGTTCACCTTTGGCCTCGTTCTCATTCAGGAGCTGGACAAAACAGACATGCACCTGAGTTCTGGGAACCAGAACGTCACACCCAAAAAAGGTAAATTTGCAGGGCATCAATTTTTTATCAGCTTTATATTATCACTGTACATGTACAGTACTATTCAAGTCTTAGGCACCTCAGCAAACTGTTTAAAATGATTTATCCCAGCAATGAGTGCATTTTTGATTGTAAAATCATCATATCATTAGAATAAATGTAAAAAAACATGAATATAGAAAAAAATAATAATTAAGAATTTTTTGCTCTACTTTTGGCATTATTGTCACTGCATTTATTCTTATATTTATATATAAGTGCAATAAAAAACATTTTCGCCAGAGCAAATAAAAAAGTAGTGCCCAGATAAAATAGTTTTTTTTTTTAAATATAATGTTCTCTGGTACTTAAAACTTTTGCACAGTATTATATATGCTCTATTCAAAGAACAATTCACCCACTGTTATTGAAACAGTTCATAGCTAGAACACTGTGCTTGATGGATCTTCCCTCCATGTACCCAACAGTTCATCTGTGATTTGGGTACCTTTGTGCCCAGTTCTCATAAGCTCAGCTGCTACAGCTGCTACAGCTGTACTGCTGGGTCTAACTGGTACTCATAGTTCATCTGCTTAGTACAACTACTATAGAAAAAAATCTATTAAGCTACAAACTACAGAATGGTGAAACTAAGAAAGACTTAAAATGTAATGAAGTACTAATCAGGTGGAATACGTTTTCTCAAAATATGTCCACACAGGAAAGTTTCCACAGGATGTCCTCAGCATAAACTACAGAATTAAGAGGGTCTATTCGAATTACGCATTACTGTTTACTGCTAATATGTTCACTGCATTTAGAGGGAACCAAAAAAAGGCACAATCAAATTAGAAGGGATCTTAGTCTATGTTCACATTACCAGGTTGAAGTGGCACAAATCAGATTTTTTCCTTAAAAATCAGATCTGATGTTTTCAGGGCTGTGTGGACACAAATCTGAGTTCAAATCGAGTCCCTTTCATATGTGGTCCTAGATCGGATACGTATCCGATTCATGGCCATGCGACCTTAATGTGACGCTCAGATTGGAATTCATGTGCTTTTTCTCCGCTCCGCGCTGCGCCATCTTTCGGCGTTACCATGGCAGCAGCGCCGAACAGAAGTTAAAGCCTGTAAACGGTGGAAAAGCAGCTCATCTCACCTTTTTCTCCTTCGTCTCGCTCTAATAATGAAGCTGAGAGCTGATCAGAGTTAATGATCTTCTCAGCGAAGCTCGTTCTGCTCGTTAGTTTGTGCTGATGATGCTCGTGATTCATTCACGTGACGTTACTGAGTAAGATGAGCTCATGAGGGTCATTTCAGGACGCCGGTTCATCACATTAATGACAGATTTGAGTCACTTACCTAAACGAGTGTGAACCATCGTGTCAGAGAGATCGGATTTGAGCAAAGAATTGGATTTGAGCAACGAGGCTTGTAATGTGAACGTAGCTTTAGAAGCATCTTAATATTTTCTTAATAATCAGAAGCATATTAATACTTCCTTAATCCTAAATAAAAAAAAAAACTTCCAAAATACAACAGAATAGCATTTCAATTTGCACAGGATTGATAACTAAAAGAAACTGTGATTATTTCTACAGTTCATTTTATAGCAGGTGATCTTTCTGAACACAGAACTGCATTAAAAGTCCATTAAACGTTACTGAAATGGCAAATTTGGACAGAACTAAAAATCACACAAATAAACTGGTAACATCTACATTAAAACGCTTAAAACTCACTTGTGAAACTAATCTCGTCCGAGATTAGTTTCACGAGTTAGACCTACAGTGAACTTCTACAGGCACATCTTCTCTGAACTGCCAGATAATCTCAAGACCTTGTCACACGGTTTAAAGTCTCATTCCACTACAGAGAAAAATCAGCTGTCTCTCTGAAATCACACACAGCTTTACTGTTTTATCAGCTTCCTGATAAAGGAGTCGGCACATTTCTCCAACGTGGGTCCAAAATGCATGTGCATCACAATTTTAAGCCTCAAGCCATCAAGTCCTAAAAGCTCTGACGCTAGTAGAGCAGCCAGTGTTGTATCTGTAAATAATGTATCAGAGATAAATTCAGAATCTATAATAATACGTCATCATGGTCAGAACAAAACCCGAAACCTCTTATCTCCGAAATAGTTATCCTTACAGAAGAAAGTACGTCAAAGTATCAAGATTTAACCAGTAATTTTAGACCGTTTTTATTGATCCATTTATCATTTACAAACCGTGTAAAGGGCAACTGGCATGTTTACTTTATGTAAGAATAATGATAATAATAATAATTAAAAAAATGACAAAAATGGAGCAACAGGTTTTTTTTTTCCCCTCCAACAGCGATAAAATATTGAAAGTGCATAACCTGCCCCACAGTTCACACAACTAGGCTTGAGGAGGCTTGGATAATAGAGAAATTTCATTCAATATGTTTTAATACAATAAAACGGTGTAGTAAATGCGCTATGATTTCACATCTCATTAACCCACATTACCTGATCATTTCTCTTGGTTCTGAACATGATTTAACTGCTAATAGGTTTCAAACCAGAAGCGTCACAGATGATAAAGCAGAGCTTTTCCATGGTGCACCTGTTTTTAAACCAGTCTCAATTTGCAGGAAACTGATGAAGGAGTCTAATGTTTACTACAGATAATGCAAAGAAAACACAACTTTAACTACATTTCTAAAAAATGGCATTATGTATATATATATAAAAAAAATCTGATTCGGTCCTGAAATCTGATTGGCTGAGCTGTGTTCGAAGCCGTTGTAAAATCTACGATATACCACTCCTATGACGCCTCACAGCAACTGAACTCTATCACTGCGCCACAGCACAAAAAACCCTTCTGCTGTTAACACATTAATCTTCGACTCTAACGCTGATCACACGGAGCAGCGAGTGTACTGACGAAGTAAGAACCCGTTTTAGTTTAAACTGAGGGTCTGAAAACTTATTTTCTTATCTAGAACTCGGCTGCTCAGCTAACCAACAGGCTAAACATTAAGTTTAGAAATTCCAGCATCTGTTGTTAAATCGTGACTGCTTGTCGAGTATGAATGTGGACGAATCCCAAATGACCATTTTTAGTGATATTTTGCATTGCTGGGCTGCAGGAGTCAGTATTTAAACTCCGACGTAGTGCACTACGTAGGGAGCAGGGAGCCGTTTGAGATTCAGTGTGAGAAAAGTGGCGTCGTCAGACTGGCAGAGACCTCACGGTGCTAATTTGGTGACCAAAAAGTACTTATAAACTGTATTTGCATTAAACAGTGCTGTGTTATCATATGTTCACTGTTGTACGAAAAAGGTACAAAGAAATTCATGAAATGTCTTCAGTTTTTCTCCTCATTCAGCGGTCAGTGGTTGCTTAGCAACAACACCGTACTTTAAAGGAACTGCATTTCTTGGCTGAATATTTGTTTATGTTGGTTATTATTAATAACAACTTAAATAATTATCTAAAATATTGTGCATTTTTATATATAATATTATATATTATATATTATTATATATATATATATATATATATATGGCATTGATTCGTATGTTTTTGTTAGCAATAAATGTGTAACTATGAAGCCGGGATGGCACTGTAGTCTTAGTGGTTTCAGCTGCCAGAATGATGTTCAGAAAGTCATGATTATGTAAAATTTTAAGGTCTAATTAAGCAGTTATTGGATACATGAACTCAAGGAGGCGTGACTAGAAGTTCATCCCTCTCCGTCACGTCTCTGTAAGTGTTTGATTTGCTGTCAGAAAACCACTCCATGGTGCGCTTTACTCTCCACCCCCCCCAAAAGAAGAGTTTCTTATTGCACTGTGTTGATGCCACATAGAGGCTGTACTTAAACTACAAAACCAGCTGTTCAAACAATGTGTTCAAAGCTGTGTTTAGTGTCTGTTCAAACATGTAAGGCGGCCTGATGTTCCTAAGCATTTTCTCTGGCATCCATTCAGTGGCAATGTGAAAAATGTTCATGTCTTTCAGGGGAACATGGAACGACAACATGGCATGTAATTTGTTACAGAACAATGAAAGCACAAAGTACAGCACAGGTCACAATGAGCCACACTGTGCGGAGTTAATAATTCATAAATGAGGCCACGGTAACTTATCAATAATGCTAAACTACATTTAACATTTTAGCTTTTTTTCCCCACAAATATAGTAAAACTGACACTGACACAAACCTAAAAATCCGACGTTACTAAATTTGTAAAAAAGTAAAAAAACAAA